AGCTTCGCTTATGGATAACACATGAGGTTATGAATTTAGTTAGATAAATTATTATTATTCTGATATTTCATATATTATAAATTGTCACAAGTTATTTTCTTTTATGTAGATCTATACATGTAAGTAGGAAATTTTAAATACTACTCTAATTCTTAATTCTTATATGAATTTATGCAATTAGTTTTAACACAGTAGATTTAAAAATATCATTTTTTCAACATGCTTTCAAAATGAAATGCATGGAATTAGATTTAATATAAGAATACTTGATTTTAAATGTTTTATTTATAATTATTTTTATTTTATTATTTTTATTGACTATTTAATTTAGGATAACACATTTACCACATATTTTATTTATTGACTATTAAAATATTATTAACACATCTCTCTCTTCACAAGTTTATGAAAACTCACTGTTCTAACAATTTTGGGTTGAATAAAATAGTAGCTAATATATCATTTAATCATAATTAGGATAATATTTATACAAAAAAATTCAAATTAAAATTAAAAATTTTATCTAATCATTATTTATTAACTGCTCTAGCTTAAAATTTAAACCTAAAGCCTTTTTAATATTAAGTACATTATGTTGAAAATCTAAAATAACTGAATATGTTGTCCAAAATGATTATTAACATATTCTACTTAAATTATCTCATAAAAAAAATATCCTACTCAAATTACAGTGTTATCTAAATTTTAAATACTTTTAGAAGATATGATTAATTAGGCAAAATCATTTTACCAATGATACATGACTGTGATAATGTTTTGCACCATTAACTTATCTCGATTAAATATTTAAATTTTAAATTTAAATATTTACTAATCTTAAACCTGACATGAATAATAATTATATTTTTGAAGATAATTAGAAATTTAAATATATTATATAAAAATTAAATCGAAACCAACCCAACATACTAGATTATACTATTTAAAGATTTTTCAAAAAAATAATTAAATTTAAAAATAGCATACTATTAATGTTGAAACCACATAATCATATTATAGAAATAAAAAATTCAAAATCTTAAAAAATTGTAATTGATTACCTAATATATTTAGATTTTAATCTTAATATTAATATTTGTAACATCTTAATCAATTATAGTTATGTAAAATAATATTTTAGATTGATATAGGATGATATTATTATTGTTTTAGATGATTACAATAAAATCAAAACAAATTACCTAGGGTAATTTTTTTAATTAATCACATAATCCTCAATCCAATTTAAAGGCAATCACTAAAAAGGAACCCTAAAAAATAAAATTGAGGAAGAATATCAAATCCAACTCTGTCTCATTTCCTCTAATTAAAAAATATTGCCATTTAAATAGAAAATGTTATTTACATTATTTACATATCTTTCAAAATTAAAAATTAGAAACTATGTATCTTTTAGTTACTCTATATATATATATATTAATATTTAAAATATCATCTTGAACTAATCTAAAAATTAATAAATAAACTGTCTTTTAAAGAAGAAAATTGCAAAGAGGCATTCAAAACATTGGAGAAGTTACTTTGGCTTGAAATTCACCTTTGCCTCATTTCATAAATAACTAAAAATACTGTCATTCAATAATGTGGATGTTTCAATTAACACTCATGAGGTTGGGTATCTGTTACCTAGTTTACCTTCAAATTAGTCATTAGGTATGATCGAGATTAGCTTCATTTGTTATATAAATGACAACATTAATCCAGTGGCCTGAGATTCTACTTCTCAAGTAGCGACTTCAATTGCAATAAAATTGTCAATATTCTTGCCTTTCTTGTCGCAACAAATGGTCAAAGTTTCCTCTAAAGTGATTATGTGCTTTTTCTTATGCTTTTCACTTTCTCCTTCCTCTTTGTTCAGCTAATTACACGAGCATCCTTGCTTGATGGAGCATTTTTTGTCCTTCAAGTGGAGTTAATTTTGGGTGAGTCTCAATCTAAAGATTAATTGTCATTCAACTATGACATATTTTGGTAATAGAAAATTAGTAGCTATATATTAGCTTGTTGGGATTGAGATGCAAACTTATATTACAATGAAATATTATTACCATTCATGTGAACTACAATATCTCAATGGGCTTAGACATTATTCCAAAAAAAAAAATATAGATAGCCAAGAAAAATACAAAATTCAAGCCAGCTAAGATTTGATACAAACCATAATGACAGTTAAAAATAGAGTTAGATTATTTACCTATTTAGAAAATTCATCTTTAGGCTCCTTTCATGTATGCCAATTAGAGATAATTACTAAAGAAAAGTTATAGCAAAATCGAGACTAAAATTTGGAGGCAAGGAAAAATATTGTGTAATTGTCAATTGTAGCGGCGTCAGCTTTATAATCACTGCGTAGTGTGTGGATGTTGGAGTTAGATGCTTGTGTATAGGTGTGGTATGCTAAACAAATTTACTTGAAAAATTGGAGAAACTAAGAAAAATTTATAGCAATGAAGAATAATCAATGAACAAATAGATAGTCTTATGAATCGCAAAAATTTGATTACCCTATAAAAAGGAGCATGAATTATACATGAATTAGTTGAAACTGAAAATATGGAATGAAATCGTAACCAAACATATTTATTTATAATCGATATAATATATGCATTAGAGGAAATTTGAATTTAAATCGATAATATAATATAATCAATAGTTATCATAAATAATTATCATGAGTAATTTTAAATTCAAAATTCAAAACAGAATCAAGCTTTGAAATTAAAGTACCATTTATTTGGAAATTTGAATCATATTTAGCATAAATAATTATTTTGAGAAATTTTAAATTTTAGTATTTAGTAATATTTTATCCCATAACTAAAAACTATATATTTGAATTTTGAATAGATATATATACACTTTGTTATATGATTGAAATTTTGCAAAATCACCCAAGATATGTAAATAATTTTTTATTCAAATTTATTATATGATTGATTACATGAACCTTAATTTTTGGAAAATATTTAGGATGCATCAAAATTTTCAAAAATCATGAGGACAGACAGAAAATTTTAAACACATATTTTTTTTGCTAAATTTTAAATACATAAGTATTAATTTTAATTCAAATATGATCAGATTTGGATTTGAAATAGATAAAGTTTTTTTTTTAATACATCTAAAAAATAATAATTCATCCTACACCTAACTCCAAACTTAAATAATATATTTTATATACATTAAAAAAATAATAAATCATCTCAAACCTAACTCCAAACCTGATTCGGGAGTACAGAATTGTAAGAAATACATCCTGAAGCAAAGAATTACAGTAAACTTAAAATTAGACACGTGACATTCTCTTATAACATTTAACTTTACTTTTATATATATAATAATTTGGGGAGGTACATATATATATATATATATATATAGATCCATAAGCCCCATGCCTGATATTTAGATTCACAAACCCCATGCCTGATATTTCGATTCAAGATATGATATCGAATCAAATATTGAAATACATACATACATACATACATATATATATATATATATATATCAGTTACATATATCAGTTACATACTTTTTATTTAATCTAGATTTAGTCAACACAGACAGGACTTCCTCTCACTTTTTTCATCAACTCACACTTAATTCTCGACGGCTATTTGATTTGGTGAAACATTTTTATGAACCACGCATCCTATTTTAATTTCCAATAATCCTCGTCCTCCTATTATTTTATAATTTTTTGTGTAATTATCAAGCCTTCCCCTCATGTCATATTCGTTATGACTTAATAGTTATGAGCACTGGGAGAGAAGCAAAGTAGCAAACCAAACAGTTTCGGAAAAATTACACTGAACGAATGCGATTAGATGGGAGCGCTGCGCGGATTGCAATATTTGCAACATTTTATCCATTACTTTTCAAAAGCTTCTTCTTCTTCTTTTTTAAACTAGGTGGCCCTTTGAGTTGCATAAAATTTAATAATTAAACAGGATTGTCTAAAATATTGTGAAAAGTAGAAAAGTGAAATTTGTTATAAATATTAATTGCATACTAATATATTAATTTCCTTCTTTATTAAAATGAATCATTTGCCATTAAAATTATGGAACGGTTGCCATTATAAATTTTCAACACACTGTAATTAAACATCTGAGCCAAGCGTCACAGTATAGAAACAAGATTTTTTTTTTTCCCCGGAAATGGTGGCCGACCTTCTTTTTGCTCAACAATATCATTTTCTCATTTGCCCCTAACATATCCATAGAATTGGAACTCATGACCTTATCCTGGTATCAATTGTTTAATTAGCTGGGATTGATGAAATATTTTATCCTTTGGTTCTATTTATACAGGGTAGAGAAAGAAATTTAATTTTAATTCTATTTATAGGCATTTCATTATTTTCAATATTTATCATTACCTTCCTACTCTTATTAAACGTTAAAAATAATTTTTTTTGGTCCTTACAAGGTAGAAGTGGAAACTTATCAAATTTAAAACAAGATTAATAAGATTTAACATTTTCCTTAATTTTGGTAAAATGTGCGGACAATGACTTATAAATAAGGCAACATCATTTATCATTGTATAAAAACGGTTAATTGTTTCGTCAGATTATAATCTTGTAGAGCAAGCTTCGACGCCCCAATTCAAATACAAAGAGAGCTGATTGACTAGGTACGCTACTAATCTTGTATATGCCTGGCTTATCGATACCGTCCAGTCTATGCTCTACTACTATACATACCTATCTGCTTATATATGTGTACGAAGGTTTGGCATGTGACCAGGAGCTTTTTCTGAAAGCATTGGACAGAATATAGCGGTGCAATTCCTGCCCTTAACTTTGTTCGTAGAGAGAAGTGCGAATTGCAGGCTAAGGCTGTGTTTAAATTTAGCGTATCATCAGTTCTGAATATAATATAGATCACGCACGTGTGTCTGGTAATTCTCTGAAGACATGAAAAGTGTCATGGTGAATAAAACAAGAAATACAGCAAACTAAAGGGGAGGAAGCAGAATTTGAATAAGCCATGCATTATTCATCAGAATATCAGATTGCGCATATATAAGGTCCAGTACAGTATGTATATAAACTTTTCTTCTCACCTCGATAACTGTTGGTATGTTAAATGTCGTATGAGAATATTCAGGTGAATAAGCATGTATGTATATAAACTTTTCTTCTGACCCCCATAACTGGTATGTGATATGTCATATGAGAATATTCAGGATTTTAAAAAGCAATCCTGATTCCTCTATAGTCCCACGACACTCGCAAGATGGATGAGAATTAAGGACTTGCTCTTCACATTTTCTCTTCTCAAGTGAGTCTTCCGGCTATGTTGTCAGATCTATGGCGAACGATGCCAATTTTCTTCCCACCTGATCTTCCCTTGTTTATAACATCCCTAAGTCTTCTCCCTTTTCTCTCTTTCTTCTCAGACTCCTGCCAAAGGGGTCGCGCATTTAACAGAGCGAATTATTTCATGGAACACAATCGACCTTATATGTTATAGTTGACAATACCTTTTTGGGGTTGGTGATTTCCTTCCTCGATGGCTTGCTCTTGCCCACCAATATTGGATCGTCATTACCTACGCAGAGAGCAGCAAAACCATTAGATGACAGCCTTAATTTTCAACCTTGATCAAAAACCTGGGATCATGATATATTCGTTCACCCATGTTGTCGGTGGTTTCGGCCATGTCAGGGTCATCGTGGGAGTGTTCTATATCACTGGAAGATCCGGAGTGGACGCAATATTCCCTGAAACTGGGGGACGCAGCGCCGGAGAAGGCATCATCCCTCTCAATCTCAACGGTGGGTGGAAGAACGTTAACGGACGGAGGCTTTGCGGGGCCATGTTGCTTGGCCTCTTTGACTCCGACCTCGTCATGGTCGGCCGGCATGAAGCGGAAGGAGAAAACGGCGTCGTTGTTGAGGGGCGAAGGAGAGGCTTTGGGAGGCTCCTCGACGTTGATGGGTCGGGCGACTTTGTAGTGGAAGGGGTTGTTGGGATGGTGCTCAGGACCCAAACTGAAGCGCCACAACCCATGACAGAACGGAGGAGATCGATAACGGAGGTGGTGGTATGGTGTTGGGGAGAGAGGGTGATGAGTTGCGTGCATTTTTGTAAAGACAAACACAAATGAGGGATGCAACGAGGGTTACGGAATTTAATCATGCCAATGGCTTCTGCTAAGCTTATAACCTCTCTGTTTAGTTTTTTTTTTTGGGGGAAAAACTATGTTTATAAAAAGAAGTCAATATATTAAGTAATTCATAATTTTTGAATGGATATTTCCACACATACATAAATGCTGGTTAAAAAAAAAAAAGTACATGCATCCACGCATATATACATATACTTAATTATACACACAGATGTGTATGTGTGTGTGAATTACTTAATACACACACATACATATATCCATATACACACGTGTGTGTACACATAATATATATTCCTTCTCGTCTTATTTATATAATACAGCAAAAGAGATTTTTTAATCATACTTATAAGGTATATTATTAACTTTTCATTGTAAGTTTCCCCTTTCATCAGATCAAATATTAGTAAGAAAAATATGCTATTAATATCTACCTATATGTGTGTGTTTAATATTAATGGAGATGGAATTAAAAACAACTTATTAATTTTTACTGAGAGTTGTTGAATTTTAATTTTTTTTTTAGTTTCCTCTTCTATAGCTAATCAATGTGATGTGTATATTATAAAAGTCCATTTGTACATGAGAGAAAATGGATTTCAAAATAGTTTCCTTTCGTTCGTTCAAAAAAAAAAAAAAAAAGTTTTCCCTTCGGACCTGAGAATTTCAAAATAGTTTCATGTAACTTATTTGTATTGTCGCGCGCCTCACAAGTCAAGTGATGCGCCACCGAACATTGTTTGTTGGGCCTCACAAGTCAAAACATTTAACGCTTTGTGTTTTGAGGGTAGCTGTAAGGCTTGTAAAACATTTTTTAAAATAAAAAAAACTTATATACTTATCATTATATATTTAAAAAATTTATTTTTAATTAAATTAAGATATATATATTTATTAAATATTATTTATTTCATAATAAATTTTTATTAATAACATATTAAAATTTATATATCTTAATTTAATTTAATAAAAGCATGTTAAATATATAAAAGTAAGTATATAAGTATTGTCCTTTTTAAATTTTATATTTAATGTCAACATCAAATTATCAATATTAATTATCACCTTTATGTTTTGGTTAAAAAAAAAATTATCACCTTTATGTCATTTCTATGCCAGACACATACAGATAAAAGACTAGTTAAAATTAGCGAATAACTTTAAAATTATCTTACGTTTTAGAAGTACCCTTAATTAAATATAATAAATTTTAACATAATATTACTTATTTTTTTAATCTCCCTCTCTACTATAATTACTCAATAACATCCATATAAAAATAATACAAGAATTTTTAATTTCTCAATGAAATTTGTAAAATAAATTATAAATTAAAACATCAAAAATAGCTCCTCATTTGGAATAAACTCTGGAAATTGAATAGTCCCCAGAAATGTAAGTATTTTCGCTTGGTTACTGCTTCACAATAAGCTTTTGACAAAAGAAGCTAGAAAAGATCGAGACATGAGTGGTTCCACTTCTTGTGCCTGGTGTCATCACGTGGAGGGAGATAGTATCCATGTTTTAGGCGACTGAGGAAATAAAAGCTGTGTGGATTTCTATCATCAAGCCGAGTCTTCTCACAATATTTTTTATTTGTAATTTGTGGGAATTGTACCGTTTAAACGTGACTGCAAATGTGGGGCGGGTTGAAGGATATTGGAAGGAGCCACGTGTTGTTTTTTGCTAGCTCATTTAGAAGCATAAGAATGACAAAATATTTGAAAATAACGTTACTTGCACCCTGCATCTCTTTTCTAAGAGCCAAGGGCATGTTAGTAATCATAATGATGCACGTATAAGTAGAGGTGGAAAACAGCCGGCCAATCCATGTGAGCTTGAGCTTCTAAGAGCTTGGCCTTCAAGCTCAATTTTTTAAAAATTATTTAATTTTTAAAATTTAATTTTTATTCAAACAGCTCAGGGTTTGCATACAAATCTTTTATTATTATTATTATTTATTTTTTAGATTCTTTAAAAGTTAAAATTTTCAACTATAATATTTTATATATTTTAAAATACAAATTATAAATAAATAATAGAAAATTAAATTTTAAAGTATAAATATATATTTTAAAGTTTAAATTCAATTTAAAAAATAAAAATATTTTATTTTTTTAGAGTTAAAATAAAAAAGAGCTATCCAAGCCTGTTTTTTCAAGGCCTATTATGGTTGATTTTCAAAGCCCGATTCTCTAAAAAATATTATTCTTTTTAAGTCTAAACTCATTTAAAAATGAGTTTAAATGAGTAACCCATCAAGCTCAATTCTTATTCTCAACTCTACAGGTAAGTTTGAAAAGAATAAATATTCAATTTGGCATGTTGTGAAGGACGTGGGAGATCCTCCATTAGTACATGAAGGTTAGATCAGTGTTTGTATTGATGGAGCCTATTCATCTTAATTATAATACAGGTTGTGGGGGTATCATCCACGACAATCATCAATCTCTTTTAGAAGCTTTTAAGCTTGAACTATCTGAAAGAATCCTCTTGTGGCTAAACTTTGGACTTGTTTTATTACTCTTATAAGAGCTTGGGATGGTGGTCTCGTTACGGGCCCTTACTCTTATTATGTCTCTTAGCAATTTTCACGCTCACTAGGAGTTGATCTCTTAATGCCAAAGTATGTTTCGTCAGGAATGAACTCTTGATCTCGGATACGTTTGCAGGAGGATGATTTTGAAGCCCATCTCATTAGCATCGCTTGTTGGGTTGGCCTTCATTTCCTACCTCTGGAGGATGCTTACTGCTTTCTTGCTAGTGCTGTAGGGTAGTAACGTCTATTTTTGGCCCAAAAAAAAAATCAAAAATAGCTTATAAATAAGTAGGGAGGTAGCATTTAAAAAGAAATTCCATTTTTCAAAGAGCTGAATGGAAGATATATGCTTTTGCTTGCATGGATTTGCAAGTGATGAGAACTGTGTGCTCATCAAGATCAGGGCCTCCATTTTGATCCAAATTGATCTCTATTATTTATTTAAATTAATTTTTAAATATTTGTAATATTACATTTATTAATATAAAAAATAAAAAAATTTAATGAATCTGTTCATTATTAATATGGATAATATAGATTTAATCTAACATTTCAATTTAACATTAAATTTTTTTATAATTTTATAATTTGACTATCCAAATAGACTCTGAACAGTCTAAATATAATCTAAATGACTTAATTTAATATTAAAAAAATTATAAATTTTACAAACTAACCATTTAAATATACTCTAAATAGTCTAAATTTAATATTAAAATTTTTTATATTTTTTATTTTAATAAATATAATATTAAAAATATTTAAATATTAATTTAAAAAAACAGCAAATATCATTTTAGGCTAAAATGAAGGGCCAAGAGCATTTAGGCTAAAATGAAGGGCCAGGATATTGTGATGAGCACTGAGTGCAGATGCTGCTTGCATGAGCTGAGTTGAACATAATCCACGACCGTTTAATTATTTTCTTTTAATTTCTTTTGTTTTTATTCAAAGTATTTTAATAAGGGCAAAATTGTAAAGATGAGCATTGAAAATTGGCACGTACTCTATAAATGTGATTAAATTTTTTCTTTCTTTCTCTACCTTATAAATAAAATTAGAAGAGTATATCCTATAAGGCTATAACTATTATGACAATTTCAGCATTTTATTGTTTCCTTACATTAGTAGTAATTATTTTTTAGATTCAGTATAATCATGCAATATCTAAAACCCATGTAACTCTCCGATCATGGATATGCATGATGATAGCTTGATACTGAATATTATACTATTTTTGTTCTCTATTATAATTATAATTTATCTTCACGAGATGGTTTAGCATATTGTTTCCCTTATATTTCGCTGCTCATTAAATTTTTTCAATCGTTTCTTATAGCTTAATTAGTAATTACTTTTGATTCAAAATAATTTAGTATAAATATCTCTAATTCGGGAATTCAATCTATAATATTGACAGGATCTAATTCTTAAAGCATAATTAACTAACCGAGAGCCTTTGACCTGGTTTATATGGCAAGTTACGCCAAGATAACGAGCACAACGACTCTTAAATTAGCCCTTTCACATAAGCATGCACACGTATAAACATGTCAATTATAATGATATTATTTTTCTTTTTCACTGGCAAATCTTTATCTGACAAACCAAATATTATCAATGTTTTTTTTTTTTTGGTGTTTTCAAAGATATTCTCACATTTGGCGTTCATGATGTTAATTTTTTAAGGAATCTGACCGTCATATAAAAAATTATTCTCTTTCAAGTAACGCTCTTCATACATCTTCAAAAATCAAATTTTGAAAAAAATATTTAAAGGGTTTAGTCCGCTACCACTTTTGCTACATCCATTTGTTAATATTATCAATCATAGGAGAATGAAAAGGAGGAATATTATCAACCTCATCCTCCCATTTTTACCAAAGGATAATAGTTGAAGTACCCAACATTTCTCGCTAAATAATTCAACCCTTTAACCCTAAATTATAACGCAACCAAATTGAATCGTTGTTCTCGTGACATGAATGTTAATTACCAAAATAATGGTGGCTCTTGATAAAAAACTGTTTGCTAGCTTGCCATCTCTGTTCAAAACCTTCAGCTATCTCTGAAGCTAGCCATCAAAAGAGGCGTTGGCTATGGTGGAGCTAGCAGATAGCAATGATTTTAGGACGAGGGCAGCGGAATAAGGCGGCAGCGATATATATGGGGAAAAAGTGATTGATACAGTAACAGTAAAAGTTGGTGAAATTTAGTAATACTGTACGTAGCATCAGTAGAGTAAAGAGGGAAACATAATAGAATTCTATACAATGCAGTGATCATAGCTGAATAGCTGGTGTCTCAACAATTTCACCTTTTTTTTTCCCTGCTAAGAACAAGTTCACATAATTTTCTCACGCTTCTCTTCACCAGTTCAAGGTAGCATACATAGTACTATGCATGTACGTTTGATCAAATCTGGCGATGAATTATTTCTCTGAATTCTGCGTGCTGACTTCTAAAAGCTTCATTCCACTTCTTCTGTATTCTATATCTTGCAGATTTCGGTACCAAATCTTCGAGAACAGTTAATACAGAAGCTATTCTATGTAAATAGGGCTCCCCCACTCACCCTTGAGATTTACTGCATCAGCAGTTCCTACTCCATTCTGTTTCTAGCTAGTTTCTGTGCAATTTATAGAAAAAAGCGTCTGAATCATAAGAAGATAGTGACAGTACAAAGATTGATGGAGTTGAATGAATTTGTGGTGTTTACGTTTGGAGAGCAGCAAGGTCAAGTAATTTTGGACAGGGAGTAGGGGAAAAAAATGCAAGCAGTTCTATGTCAGTGGATGAACAATACGAAACATTGCTTTTATGGAGCTAAATTCTAAAAGCACGTGTGCTGCACGATGAAAAGAAAAAACCTACTATCTTCAGCAATACAAGGGATTTGGATTCTACTAGGATTTGAATTCGATAATTGTAGTTAATACAGTCACTGAATACATTTAACATTTAAATTATTAAAATTTAAATCAACGATTTTAAATTTATACTTTACTTAAAATTAATAAATAAGTAACTTTATCTAAATAGTTGATCTGAATTTTAAAAATTTATACCTCACTTAAAATTAATAAATGAGTGACTTTATCTGAACAATTGATCTGAATTTTAAAATTTAAAATTCAAATTAACTATTCACATAAAGTCACTCATTTATTAATCTTAAGTGTAGTATAAATTTATAATCGTTGATTTGAATTTTAATGATTTAGATGCTATATACACTCAGTGTTTGTATTAACTATGGTCATTGAATCCAAATCTTAATACGAGACAATTGTGTCCGCCAAAATCTCAACGTTTCCAGCTGCTACGAACTATGATTAACTTCTAAAACTCTAGTGTATTAGTCTCTATAACAAAGGTTAACTTTTGCCTTCTCCAACTAAAAAAGCTACTGAAAATATAGTGATACGTCATCAATTTATGGTTAATCATAGTGTAATTAGTGTCAACAGGCATTAACGATTTAGTGTTCATGTTATGATAATCTAATTATTGCATCGATAGGTGTACAAAATAAGGCAGAAATAAAGCAAGGACGACGAACAAAATCTGAGTAGGAGGAAGTAAAAATCACCACCACCATCATCACAGCGTCCCAATAGCTCCAATTTAGCAGATGTATGTGTGTGTGTGGGGTCTATGAATAGGTTTCCTTGTGTTCTTCATTCATAATAATGGTCGGCCCTTAAAGTCTGCAACGTACGACGCTACTCAATGTCCACTACATGCTGCCTTGCAAGTGTGATGATGTGATCCACAATAACACAAATTCTACAACCACCTTCAAAACTCTTTTCTCCACTTATTGCTTCAATGCTCAACGTAGTAGTGTTTCATAATTTCCTACGTGCGTATGCCTAAAGCGATCCACGTTGTTCATGAATTTGAAATCTCTGGTACAAGGACAAAGAAACGAAAAGTTAAGATACAAGATCGGCTATATAGGAATTCTCTAATACTGAAGTTTTATGTCGGAAGCTCTTTTTCTCCATTCACCACGCAGCCATTATATTTGAATTTGAGAAGGCATCATGATGAAAGACGTGAGAGTTGTCTAAAACCAAGTGTGCTGAAATGTATTTCACTGTACTCCTTATGGCTTTATATCCATGTATATATTTATGTAAAAAGAAATAATAATTAATATCAGGACATATATAATAACTTGTGATTCATGGAGTGAAGACAGCTCGTAATTCGATCGTGGGAAAATGATAAAGACTTGTATAGAAATTCATGAAGATGATTAAAATAGAGCGTGTATTATTTTGTTTCTTTTTTATCTGAAAATGTATTATTTTTTTTCAATAATAAAAATTTCCGATAACTTGTCCATGTCCATCATGAAGGACTCTAGACTATAGTTACGTATGGTTGACAAGTTTTTTTTCTTGAAACACGATCCTTCTTTTGAAACAAGTGCTCGTTATCGTTATCACAATGAATTTATAAAGACTGCTTGGGATATTCATACTAATAAATTGATTTTATTTTAGTTTTATCACAATAAATCCTTAGTTCGATAAATAAGATCAAATTAGCAATCATTGTTTAGCCACTTCACTTTCACTGATAAAGTCATGTTTGAATTATATATTTGCCCTGTTGAAAACGCAAACCTCCAATTGCGTAGCTGTATGTGAATTTGATTGGATTATTCTTAGCTGGACCAACAAAAATGGCCGATTTCTCTCATATACTGCCTACCTAAATATGCAAGAAATTAATTAATTTCAGTAGATTGACTAAATCAAAACAGAGGGGGATTTTCCAAATTTTTTTATAGATACAAACACTTGCTAATTCGTTACCAAGTACGTACCAACCATAAAATGAAATAAAATTAATATATCCTCATCCTCCGGCACCACTAATAAGGCAATGGGATCTAATTACAAGATGCTGATGCATGCGTGCGTGTCTGGATTTTGCTTACTCTTAAAATTCCTATTTCTCATTGTGTATGTATATTTTTAAGCAGGTTACAGTATAAATGTTTGTCAATGATTTTCTTCTTCGGTTATCTTAATCTATACCATGCACCGGCTAAATGATTTTCCTTCAGTGTCGGCATTATTGCCAAAAGGAATCTTTTTATGTCAACAGCCACAAAGAAGCAATAAACAACATTTCATTTAGTGTGCGTCTTGCTTGCTTCCTCCCCCAACTTAACCGACGCTTAGTTTTTTTTTTTTTTTTTTCTGGTATTTAATTTGTTCCTTGTTCGCTTCACTAACACCAGATCAATTTAAAATTCAAACGCATTAATCACTTCGAATATTTAGATTCACCATTAAATCAAGAATATTTGATGGTCGGGTCTGATGGAAATAAAAACGATACTGTTCTTGTCTGTTACAAAAATAACATTAGAATTATTATTTTTTTAATTTCTTCTCTGAAGCATCTCTTTTTATTTTATCATCAATTACACCAGAAAGGGACTTTTTTACTTTGGAGTTTCGATGTGTAACGAAATCATTCATGAACGGAGTATTGAGTTCTTGAACTAAGACAGATTCTTTCAACCCCATGTGTGTTGTTGTCATGTAGGTTCTATGCTCTTTACCCATATGGTATCTCGGGTTATCTTTCAACAAGATCATGATTAGATCCTTCACAGCCTCTTTTCTGCTTTCTTTGGATGCCTCCCCTTTGTATGTTTCTCTGGGTCATTATTTTATACTTTGGATCATCTATTTGTCTTTTAAAAAACCATTTGGCTTTTGATAATAATAGAAGTCCACACTGTGATTAGCAATATCAGGCAGGCACTATACATAATACTATCAGATTAATGACGCTTTTTATTTATTCATCATCAGTCTGTTCTCTCTCTCACTACAATGATTCCCAACATGATAATTATTAATGAGGATTAGGAATGCTAAAACAAACTGATCAGTTTCTTTGAGCCCACTGATTAAACATAACCCCACCCATCCACGCCATTCTCATTTAACTCTAGCATATGTAACAGTCGGGGAAAATAAAAAGAGAAACAGGTTTTCAGGGATCTAGATGCTTTTCCTTCTCCGTTTCTTACAGAATTTCAGCAAAGTTAACTGATACCACCGCTTGGACTAATCTAGCTAGTTAGAAGCGATGGTGTCACTGCCTTCACTGACACTCGGGGACGGCGGCGGCGGCGGGGCTTCGTCAGAACCATGATCGTCAGCGGTGAAATCAATGAAGCTGGGTTCGACCCCCTCAAGCTTCTGAACTTTTTTGATATTGGACTGCTTCGCAGACCTTTTTCTCTTGGGCTTCTTCTCCTTCTGAAAAACCCGATACACAGCCCACTTTGTCCACGGCATCTACATTTGGCGTCAAAACACAAATCAAATATCAAATACTGATAAATAAGACAAGATAGGGAAAAATTCGGGGCACTACATTATTCTGTCTCAATGAACAATCACTGTTCTATTGTTTACCTTGGATGGGTGACCGATAATTGGAGGGCCGGCGAGGCGCAGCTCATGCATGACCCATTGTGTTTGGGCCTCGCCGGAACCGTCGCCTCCGCAGAAAACCAGGGTTCTCCTCGTCCCGACCACATAGTTGGTAGCAGAAGAAACAATTAATTTCTCTTTGCCAGTGGGCTTCCAGAAGCCAGTGCCCTCAGCAATCACGATGATTCCTCCATAGAAAATGTCCTTCATCTCGCTGAAAAAATACCCCTTTTCAACAGAATCTGCTTCTCCCACGCCTACAGTCCGCCCAAACAAAAATCAGACATCAATACATCGTTTCGATGGGATTTAATTAACACGCCGTGATCGAACAACACAAGTATGTTTCAGCAGACAAGGAAATTTTGAATCTTTGAGAGACATTGAGGGAACAGAGTGAACACAGCTGCAAAGAAGAAGAAGAAGAAGCGAGAAAACGATGAGTATATTTGACAAACCTGGAAGCTTCCAGGGATCGGTCTGAAACACGTCGAGAACAGGAATCACTGCGGCAGGTAATGGCAGGCCAAAGGCCAACTTCCTGAGATAGTGGACGATAAGCTCCTCATCAGTCGGGCAGAACCTGTAGCCGATAGGCAGTTTAATGCCTCCAGTGATGACAAAGCTGGGAAGAATCTCCATCTCGGAGAATCTCACACACAACACACGAGATAGAGAGAAAGAGAGAGAGGAGGGGGTGTCTCAATCTCAAATCTGGGATTGGGATGGTGAGATTGGTTCAGGGGAGACTCATTATAAGGAGAAGGCACACAGAAAAGAAGGGCAGAAAGAGAAGGAAAAGAGCGCAAAATAGGGAACGCTCGCGATGTGGCCGGGCCTGGGGCTGTGATGGGCGAGGGATGACGAGGCAAAGTTTAATTTATACAGGCAGGGTAGAGTGTGTGAGCAAGGAAGAAATCCGAAACATTAACTCTCCTCATAATTATGACTCCAAAGAGTTCTTGACTTTTTAACTATTGCTTTTCTCTGACGGTCCTGGGGAGCCTTTTCTCAAGCGTGTACGGGACATGTAGAGTGTGTATACTGGAACATTATATCTTGCCTGCCTTTGGTCAAAGATGAATCCGCCCCCTTTTTTTAAAGCTTTTTGCATATACAGTGATCCTCATGTTTGGAAATCTTGTTCTGCTCAGATCCCTTTCTTTAGTGATTACCTACCCTCTCTTCAATTTCCGATTTCCTTCCTCTTTCTCATTTGGGTTTCTTTTTTCACTTGCGTGTGTTCAATAGGTGGCGTCCTATGTATATGTGACCAATCAATATAATTAATGTTGTTTCCATTTATAGTGGATTTTTTTACACTATTTTTTGAGGCAGACTATCCAGATAATTGAAAACTTAATAAGCAAGGCTTTCAATAAATCTAGCAATTTAATAGCCTGATTTGTGCCCAGTGAGTCAACATGTATATAAATAAGATTTAAAACTCTTCCCAGAAAATGCAATTTTTATATATTTTGATTTGTTTCTTACCCAAATCTTCTTCTATTTTATATAATTCAAATTTAAAAAAAATATTACTATTGAAATTCAAACTTAAAAGTCAAGAAATGATTTTAAAAATAAAATAAGTTTTT